AATCATGCTCTCTGACGTCAGGCTGTACTACAAAGCTACAGTAATCAAAACATTGTGGTACCAGCACAAAAACAGACACATAGATCATGGAACAGAATAGAGAGCCCAGAAATAAACCCACACGCTGACAGTCAATTAATCTATGACAAAGGGGGCAAGAACATACAATGGAGAAAAGACAGTCTCTTCAATAAATAATGCTGAGAACACTGAACAGCTGTATGTAAAAAAAAAAAGTAGAACATTCTTTAATACCATATACAAAAATAAATTAAAAATCGATTAAAGACCTAAATGTAAGACCAGCTACTTTAAAACTCCTAGAGGAAAACTTAGGCAGAACACCAACCTAAATCACAGTAATATTTTTTTAGATATGTCTCCTGAAGTAAAGGAAATAAAAGCAAAAATAAACAAATGGGACCCAACAAAACTTAAAAGCTTCTGCACAGCAAAGTGTTGACAAAAGGACAACCTACACAATGGGAGAAAATATTTGCAAATATGACCAACAAGAGGTTAATACCCAACATGTATAAATAGCTCATACAACTGAATATCAAAAAAACCAAACAACCTGATTAAAAAAATGGGCAAAAGAACTGAACATTTTTCCAAATGTAATTTCTTTATAGTACCACTGAATTATGATTTTTTAAATGATTATTTAACAAACATAACCTGTGTAAACAGATAATATATATTAACTCTTACCTATTTCAAGATGCCATAATTCCACTAAGAGGCACCTCTGTCCCTCTCATTACAAATAGTCAAATTGAAAAGTTACTAAAGGAGATTATCCCCAGTGAATTTCAAATTCATCCCAGTTTCTACAATTGAAGGAGTTATTCCAATATGGAGAAGAAAAAGTTGATTTAACATAATTGATTGACAAAATATTAACATTCATTATTTCCAGAAAATTCTACCCACTAATTCAGGTGACCTAGTTGCACTGAGGTGTTATCTACTCCTCCTACGAGTTATTATCTACCACCTACTCCCAGACACAGTAATCCTACTGTCAGCATCTTCAGCCCCACTAGGGAGCTTACCTGAGGATGCTGGTTTTTGTGGACTATCGGGCACAAACAGTAGTCACCTTCATCCACAAGTGGCCATCACACATATGATCACTTACTCCCACAGTGCTCTGTCATCCACCTTTGCCTCACTGTTTCACTGTTTGAGGCCGTCTTGTAAACCAGCACTGAATGGTGCCACCACTACTCTCGAGGAGAAAACACCACTCAACACACTCTAGTGGTAAACATCAGCAAATCTTCTAATTGGCATAAACAGTCTTTTGTCACTATTCCCTCAGCTCCTTACATCCCGGTCCACTAAAAATCCACACTTTAATTCTGCTCCAAGCTCTGCTTTGTGCTCTCCTTTGGCATAATTCGATTTATTACCACTGACATCATCCTGACTTCAGCAACTCGCCCCTAGGCACATTCCATACTTAGAAATTCCTCTTCCTTTTTGGGAACTCTCTTGTCCTAAATTGCTCCAATCCATATCACTTGAGAAAAATTAGCATATGCTAATATTTAAATCCCTTCAGTGTTTGCTGCTGCACTAGAGGTAACCTACAGTCCTCCACCAAAGGCTGGTGATCTGTATGTCATGCAAACAAGTAACCAATATAATATGCTCTGTGACCCTCTGGTCTCGCTTCCCTTTCCAGTTCTTGGTCACAATAATTTACATCATGGTATTCAGAGAAGTTAGAGAGATCAGAATCAAGTAATGCTCACAGCCTTTTTGGGTGAAAGCTTCTTCTTGGAAAGAGAATGGAGAAAAGCAGATGGTGAATGTCACACTTCTTCTGTGCTGTCCATTGGCCGCGCTGTATGGACAACATGGAAGGGTCCCAGCAGCCCCACGTCATCCACCCGAGGCGTCAGGCAGTGACGCAGATCTGACTTACAATGCTCCTGTGAGGAGCAACCACTGAACACTGTTATTGTTTTGATGAAAAGAGCCCTGAGGGTTGTTTTTGATCTGCATATTAACAAAGATGAGAAAGAAAGCCAGGTTATTTCTTAGAAGCAGCCAGAAAGACATTTTCCCTTGAAAACATGCAAGATACATCTCTGCTGGAAAACACACAGACAGAGACAAAACAAAATGGAAAAAACAAACAAAAAATCCTTTCATCCAGAACGTGTGGCTTGCTTTCTTTTATTCCTCAGTATACGTGAATATGTGAAAATGCACAACACTCAGATGTGCAGCCTGATCCGAGTGATAATCTCTTATAATGTTCCTCTATTTAAAGCAACAAACAGATGGAGGGTTTATGAGCAAGGCTGGTAAAAGTAAAAGCAAGTGATTGTAATAGTTGTACTTTTAATAGGATTCCCCACAACCTAAAACATTACTCCCCCAGGAACAAACTGTTCTATAAAATAACATTACTTAGGAAAGAGACAGTCCACCTTGACTTTGCTGAGGCAACAGAGGACTCCAGGACAGCCTCGACCCTAGGGGGTTCTGAAGTCAGATGGGTGTCCTGGGAGAGAGGACACAGGGAGGTTTGGCACCATGATCCCCAAAGAGAAAGCTCAGTGGAACAGGATAAAAAGCAGAAAAGACCAAGGGGTGGAAGGGGGTATGAAATATGTCTCAGTTTGGATTGAATTTATTACCTTCTAATTCTCTTCTCTGACAAACAAGGTTTGGGAAATTCCTACGGATTTAAGATAAGCATGCAACAACGCTTCCCCCTCTGCCAATTTAGACCAGAGTCTAACTTGAGCATAGCAAATCTTGCTTAGCAAACAGTGGAACTGTCCACAACCCAACAGTAATTCATTATCATTATCCCTCTTTAAGAGAAACAAAACTCACGCTAATTCTATCATTAAGATGAATAGACTGTAGTGATAGCCTTTACGTAAATTATAATTAAAGCTAATCTCAATTAAAGTTATTACACCATTTTGGAAGACAATAAACAACCCAAAGAGAGGGAAACAATGTGGTCAATAACTCACTCCAAAAATATTTTTTGCTTCCAAAGCTCACATGGAAGAAGACATTCTTGCGTGTGATACAAATGGATCTGACATTAAGAAAAGTAAACAAGTAAGAAAAATAAAGATGGAAAAATTCTGTGGTCAGTTCACAAGTGCTTTTTTATTGTTTGAGGCAGGGTTAAAGCCTTTTATAAAGACAAGGATATATGTGCCGCTAGATTGGATGTGACATTGGACTAGTCTCGCTGCCCTTGCTCAGAACTCTGGCTGCCCATAATGTGCCATGGACAGAACATGTGCTGCTGCCTCCAAACAAAGAACCAGTGTGGGACTGAATACAGCTAACTCAGAGCACTCCTCCAGTGCTGTTTTGTAGAGCAAATAGAGAAAAGGTACTCAGCTCTGGTTATTAATGGATTTAAGAGATAAAGCCAAACATTCAATATCCTCTAATTATGAATGGCCTTAAGGATTTTAGTCTAAATTTGTCTCAATAACTGATAACCAGAGGTTGCGTAATCTACAGGAGGGACTCCTGCCAGCCCCAGCACAAGTCATTCAAGGACTGTGCTGATTCAACAGGCCAGAGGCCGTGGAAATGGACTACAAATGAGAAGGCAGGTTCTTCTTGGGTGTCTTGGGTTCTGAGTCCTTGAAGACTTTTACCACAGCAGCTTCCTAGTCCTTTGATATCTATACCTGGGAAGAATTCTCTTTCAGGTTTTTCTGTCCTCAAACTAACCTAATACTGGGACACTCAGGACAATGAACACCTGGTCTAAACAGAAGCAAAAAGAAATGCTACTGTGTCAAGAGCAACAAGCCTTTCAAGCATCTTCTAAGAGTGATTCTACTGGTGCACCAGTATTCTCGGTGGAATTTTAGCCTCACAACCAGTATGACCATGCTTTTTCCCCCTTGTAACATTAGGGCTGGAAGATAGCCAAAGGTGCACAAAGAACACCTAACAAACTATGGATTTCACAACTGACAGGTCCTGGGAAGTACACCCAATTCAAAGGGCTTGTGCCTTTTCCTAAAAACTGTTTGGTCCGGTGGGTGTTTTCTACAGTCTTCCCTTTCCTTCTTAACTTCCTGACCTATACTCTATCTTTTATCACCTCCCTACCTTTGAACAGCACCCAAAGGAGCAAGCCAGCTCCACACACAAATATGGCCATAGACACAGCTGGGAGGGTGTGTGGTTAAAAATAAATAAATAAGAGTCCCTGGTACAACCAGAATCTGGTGTTGGGAAAGACGCCTGACACTTCCTAGTATTTAGGGTAGGAAGTGCATTTAGAAATGAACAAAATATAATAAAGTTCATGCTTTTGTAGTCAGGGATTTAGGGAAAGCAATTTACTCCAATACTGGAGTATGGCCATGAATGTATGACCTGGCTAAGAACTGACCTCTTCTGTTCTCTGAAAAACTGCAAACTGACATGCATTGCCTGTGATAAAGATGCTAAAGGGTGGTGAGGGTGGGATAGGGGGCGCTATGCAGAATACAAGAGATTTAAGATGTAAGAGAAATAAGGGAGAAGAGCCTTCCTCTAAACTGGAACTGTTTCACTGAAAACAAACCCAGAACACAATGGCATCAATAGGCAAGCTAAAGACACGGTCTCTCACTGCAGCCACTGAGCATGCTCGGGGAGGCCCCAGGTGTGACCTTTCTCCCCTGTGAGCAGCAGAGGGACCAGGCAATCTATCATGGTGTTCATCCTGTCAGCCCTGGTGCTTCGCCACCGCTGTCTGTCACCCTGGTGGATGAGACCTGCTTAAGGGCAATCACGTCAATCTCTATGCGACCACTCAGTCTAAGGCAGAAGGATGATCTTGACAGGCCTGGCAAAGTCAGCAGAAGGTACCAAAAGCTGAAGCCATACATAGCCTTCCCACAGAGAGGCAATGTGGGCCATTGTTGTTTTGTTTCGCTCTATCTTTATTTCTGCTTTCCCTTTTCCCTTTTCCTTTCACGTCAGTGGCTAAGGCATAGAGAACTTGCCTTCAGAGCTGGTCATCTCGGATAAACCTGTTGCCCTCCGAGTTTTTCCCGTAGTAAACATAGCGACACTTTCCCAGGACACCTGCAAATAAAAAGAAGCACATCATTACAGCCGGCACAATTAGTGTGGCAAGAAAGTACAAGTGCTGCAAGGCAGACGTGCAACACCCTCACAGACCTGACGGGTGGTGGCAAGTGCACGAAGCCTGAGAAGGGAAGGGCTCTACTTTCTTGTCCTCAGAGTTGACATTCAAATAAAATGTCACCAGAGCACAGGCTCCTAGGAATAACAATTTTTCCGCATGATTCCTCTCTTACATTTTAGACAATGTTTAGCCAATTACTAGTTTGGTCAATTCTCAGAACACACAAAAAAAAGCACAACATTTCCCTCTCTCCAAGTTCTCTTAGTAGAGTTTCTAAAAATGGGAAATTAAGAGTTTAAAGATGGGCCCAGCCCAAACAACGGATATAAGACAATCGTCTCAGAATGCGACTATGTTCAAATCCTTTATCACAAAGCAGTTTCGTTCACTTCCAGAGAGAACCTTCCAAATCCCAAGAAGCATCAAGTCCATAATGATTATGGAAGAGTGGTGGTGTTGACAAAAACCACACAGAAAGTAACAGGAGCCTCTGACATTAAATGGCTTCTTCCTACAGGGGTCCTGAGTTATATTCCCAGGCTGGACTGCATTTCATTTTCATCTTCAGTTTTATTTTAAATAATTTTGTGGCTCCATATACAGCCTTCCTGACATTCAAGGAGATCGTAGGAGAACTTAACTATAAACAATGCCAGTAGATCAAGGTCAAACCTTTTAATCAACTCAATAAGTAATATAAATATCCTTAAGAAACCACCAGCTATAGCTTTTTGACAGCTCTGTAGGATTATTAAGGAAAAACAGTTTTTCCAAGAAAATATTTGTAACAACAATTTGCTTTTTGCCACCTTGGGTTTTTTTTCCCTTCTAATTTTAGAAAAACTGACTTAAAACTCAGCTTCACAGAGCTGTCTTATTACTAACAGTCCTTGAGTCTCTGAAGTGTGCACAACCATAAAAAAAAAAAGAAGTGTCCATAAATTCATCAGCTACAAATCTGTCTGTAAAAATAGCTACCTATATGCATGATTTTCCCCCCATTACTTTGAGGGTGTGAAACCAACAGTTACCATCTATTGTTCATTTTGGATAAATTAGCACTTGAAATTATACAGGTCCTTCACATCAGAAGTCCTACATGGTATACATTTTGGTGATCGTACAGATGTTTCTCTGTTACAGAACTTTAGATCTCATCCTTCAACAAGGATTAAAAGTGACTCTTAGAAACATCTAAACAAAAGGCAGATGCTCCATGGTTTGGATGGCTTGCGACAAAGCTGGGAATGGCCGGGGTCACAGAATCCCTGCAAGTCGATTAATTGGGAAAGAATGACATCATTCCATGGCCCCCGGACAGGCCTTGGGCTCGCTCTCATCACCTCCACTTCCTGCCACGTCCTCCCGAGCAAATTCACTGGGGACCACTCTTCCCCTTTGGCCGTGCTTTCTCCTTGGCCCCCAGTCCCCCAAGTTCTGCTGTTCAGTATTGGTCTGGTGCCTGGAAACATTGTGCTTGGATGAAACCTCCCTGAGACCCTTCTCAGGGCCTAAATTACTCTTTTGGCTATTGGCACTGAGCCGCTGCCTTTATGTTGCTGAATTACATAGCACCTGAAGTGGTGCTAATATCGTCACCAGTGGGAGGACAAGTCTGTGGGCCTGGGTGCTGGGGCTGCATTCCTGGAACAGCATCCCCTACAGGCTTGGGTGGGAGTGTCTCTGAAGTTTCTGAAAATCCTTAAACGTAACTGATTCCAACAAACTCTCAAGAATCTGCAAGGATGAGGCCAAGGCATGTTAATTTCTTTCTACAGCACCAGGACAGCATGAATTTTTATAAAAAGGAATGGATAGGACTGTCAGATATTATAAAGAACTTAGTCTTTCTCTTGAGTAAAAGAATGAAAGGCACACACTCAACAAAACCCCTCCAGCGGGTGCATTCTCTCCGGGAAACTCTCCAGCTCATTTGGGATTGAATTTCTTTTCTCTGCGCTCTCTTCATGGTAAACCTCAACTGCAGAGGGACCTTGCCGAGACAGAACCTGGACAGCAGGGCTCTCCTAGAAGCAGACTGGATACTTCTAAACATGAGCTGGAAGGTGGAGGGAAGTGAAGAGATCTGAGCCACATTCCCCAGCCCTTCTTTCTGGTCGGCATTGATAAAAGTCCTTTTTAAAGCCTGCCCTGTTCCTTTGGGCCTGGAAGCAAGAATGTTTATAGACACCCCGGTGAGAGAGGGCTGTGTGATGAATGCAGGAGACTGTGGCGAAGTGTCAGAGCTTGGAAAATGAGGCAAGGACACGAGGTATTAATATTGTCAATGATCTCTTGACGGGAACACAGATACCGCACTCACCCTCAGATTTAAATAGACATCAAGTGCATTAATGACAAGAGGGCCGACTTCAAACACAGGGGCTGTGTGGTGGGGAGCAGAGCTCGTCTCTGTGCTGGCAATAACCTGATCTGAAAAGACACTGTCAGGGCTCCAGACAGGCCCAGGATTGTGTGTGGTGACAGAAAACAGAGATGCTGACAGAGATACCAGAGCTATATTATGCCAAGGAGAGTCGAACACTGTCTGCGGCTCTAACGCAAGCTGACATCACTCCCTATCACTTGGGGTCTTCTTTGCCGGCTCCTGCAGAACCTTTCTCCCCAGACATCATTACACAAACTCGCTGCTATTGCAAAGTTCCTGGCAGCCCTGTGCTGTCAGAGAGTGGGGGTCGCGGGGGCTAAGGAAACCCTCAGTCAATCTAAACTGGGAATTTGCAGGAGGAGACCCACATTCCCCTCCCCGCCCGGATATCTGGGCTTCTTGAGGTGATCAGATCGCTGGCCTGTGAGGAGCTGTCACCTTGAATAAAATCCGGAAAGGGGAAGGCTCTCAGTCTGCGGGCTCCTCCAAAGAAGGCACGGCATGGGGACAGCCTGGCAGCCGAAGATGAAAAAAGCCGGCTGCTGGTGCTCCCCTGGGGAGAAAGGTGGGTTGGCTAGTGACAGTTAAAATGGGCTGAAATTTGTGAACTCAGACCGCCTACAATTGCTTAAATGAAGCAAGCAGTTGCCTCTGTGGAGATGCCTACCTGAGCTCACAGCCGGGAAGTGATTACCCTCCAAACGGGGCTTTTGTGCTTAATAAATTAATAACATGGACAAGGAAGAAAAAAAGAAAAAAGCCTAGTCCATGTGCAGCCCTCAGACTTTACCATGAAGGTTATGGGTAAAATCATAGGATCTGCTCTAAATGGAGTGAGGTGGTGGCTGTGTGTCTCTCCCTTTCTCCCGCTCTCCCCGTGGCCTTTCTTCTGCCATAGTGGGCACTGCCATCCACTGTGCAAATTACAGACGGAACTGTTTGTTTGCATAGAACGTTTTGATGGGGAGGCGCTTCAAGGCCAGAATTCAGGGACTGGCTGGGTGCGACTCAGAAGGGGGTGGTTTCCCTTTACACCTGCAGTGCAGAGTCTTGTTTGTCTCCCCTGGAACTCTCAATGTCTTGGGACCGACCGGAGAGGGAACAACACATTGAATGGTCTATGTAGTGTTTTCACTTAAAATATCTAGCTGTGGCCAAAATAAGTGAAGCAGGCTTGTCGTGCATCAGGCCGGCATGGAGCTGTCTGGGCAAGGGTTTCTCTTGGGAGGGCCTGGAAAAATGAGAGTGCCCTGTCCGCTGGGAAATAGTCTCCTGCCAAACGAGACTCCTAATTTTTCTTAACTAGCCAGCTCTGCCATCACCTTAAACTCTTAAAACTAGAATTACGAAAAAAAAAGGTATTGGGGAGAATCTGTCTTAAAGAGATCCTTTATCTTTGAAATGCTTCCCCCAGTGGAATGGGTGCTCTAATTATGCATGTTAAGTTAGGACCTTTCGGGCTTCTGAGGGGGTGGGAATCAATGTCTTTTCTTGGATGCACCACTATGCCAACGGCATACTAGACTGTATGTAGACATACTAGACATACTAGACAGTCGGTACTAGACTGCTGAGGAAAATCCTGGGTGTCCTGGAGAGGAAGTCTTTGCATACTTATGCAGAGTACAGCAAAGACCTCAGGACTCCCTGATCTCCTGGATAGCCTCACCCTACCATCTATTTAGAAGGGGAGCTGGGGAAAGATGTGTATTTAAACCCAACTCTGCCCCTAACAGTTATGTGACCATGTACACATACCTTTCCCTCACTGGGCTGGTTTCCCCACTTGTAAAATCAGGTTAAGGGGCCAGATATCTTGGAGGCCCACCTTAATTCTGAAATAAATACCGAGCATGTCTGAGTGTTTCTCTTACGAAGATAAGGATGCCAGGGACCCTATAGCCTGATGTAGGAGGCAGATCCAATCACTTAATCAAAATCTGATTTGGACTAAGTCAGCTCTTGAAACCCATCCAGCCCATGTTCTCATAATATACAGAAAGGAAGCTCTGCTGGACCTCAACATCCCTAAGGAGTGAATTTCCACTCACTTTCCTGCAACCTGTATTTCATACTCAAAAAGGGGAAGTGCTTACCACTAATTAGCCTGCATCCCCCTAGCTTTGACGTAAGCTCCAGTCTCTTCACTCCATGTTCAACAGAACTAATGACTCAACATCAGAGGAGGTGGTCTACCATTCGTCTTTTAGTTGCGAACGAGTAATACACTTTACTCATGCAAGTACAGAAATACATTAAATGATGGAGTACAGGTTGGGCAAATAAATTCATATTTGTGAAGTAAAGGAAGTATCAATTTTACTATCACTATTAATGTTAGTTTTGGTCATCATTGTTTTAAAAGCTAATATCACCAGGGTTTATAAGAGTAACCGTGTAATGAGAAACAGATTGTAATCTGTTTGTGATGACCAGAACCTTTCAATTAGCGTTACAAAACAGGCGAGGGACAGAGGGCACCTTATGAAACTCTGGTTCTCCTGTCTGTATGAGGAAGGCAAAGAACTGGACTCCTCATGGCCTCTG